ATCCTGCCAGCTGTATTAGGAGGCTGAAATGCCAGGAGCAACCACCTCCAGCTCCAAGGGATTGAGTAGAGAGGGAACGGCGTCTGCCATCATGAGGCAGGGGGGAAGGATTGTGTTAGGAAGACAAAAGGTGAATGAAAACCCACAACCCCGACCTCACTCTGACATTTAATAGTTAGCTTGGCTTTGTGAAAGGAAGGGGTGATAAGAATAATCACAATCCCTGGGCAGCAATAGTAGTCAAATAAGTTATTTTCATTTTTCTTTGCACAGGCTGGTTGAGGGGAAGGTTATACAGGCTATGGGTTGGTAAACTAAGCCCTATTTACAAGGTTGTTAACTTGTGTGACTCACATATCTCCTAGAAACAAATGACTATTTGGGCTTTGGCTCTCTTTTCGCTCTGGAATGCGCTATCCCACCTGTCTACATAGAAGGATCAGGTACAAGCCCCATCCTTCCCCTTCACCCAGATACTTAACCCAGCTTGGATGCATCCATGATGGAAATATTAGGGTAAGTAGTAGGACTAACTCTGGCCAACAACTAAGCGGGGGTATTATTGGCACTAGCAGAGATGCATCTCACAGACAGCTTTCAAACAGGTATATTATGTCTATGCTTATTCCTCAATGGCTAGTATATTCCCACCCCTTTGCACCCTCCCCATTTTAGTGATTCTTTGCTTTTAGCTGCTAATATGGTGGCACAGGGTATAAAGCACTGGCCCTGGAGTCAAAAGGGCCTGAGTTCAAATTTGGCCTCAGACACTTACTGGCTGCGTGACTAGCAAGTCATTTAACATTGTTTGTCTCAGGTCCACCTCTGTAAAATGAACTAGACAAGGAAATGGCAAACCACTCTAGTACATTTGCCAAAATGAGGTCATGAAGAGTTGGATACGACTGAAATGACTCAACCAAAACAAGCTGCTGATACATAGACTCATTCCCAGTTGTCTGCTCCCTTATCCCCACATCCCTCTCAACCCCATCCTACCCCCACAATGTCCCATTCTAGATCTAATTGCCCTTGCACTCTGCTCTCTAAAAGGCTTGCTCCATAATTAATATTGCACAGTAAACCTTTTATCGGCAGTCAGAAAGTTCCAAGTTCAAATCTTGCCTCCCTTATGATGTGGCCCTGGGCAAGTCACCTGACTTCTCAGCTTGTTTCCTCATCTATAAATTGAGGATAATAATGCCTACTTCACAGGGGTTGTTTGAAGATCAAAGGAGATGATATGTGTAAAGCATTTTGACAGCCTTTCAGTAGATGTTAATTCTTCTTCTTCTTCTTCTTCAGTCCTTCCATCTTGTGGCCCTCGTGGAGACCCGGCTTCCTCCTAACAACACTCTGTCCCTGTCCGCCGTTCCCAGTAAGGTGCCTTTTCACCCGTATCTCCTGCCTCATTTGTAATGGTGAGGAAGTGGGAGTGCTCCTTGTTCCCCACTGCCACTTCCAGACTCCCTCTCAACCACTATCAGTCAAGCAACCTCTCTTCTTTGGGGTCTACACTATTCAAACTGATCACCCAATCCACATCCTAGTGGCCATTGCCTATCAGCCCCCAGGAAATTCTCCTTCCTTCCTCAACAAATTCAGTGACCAGATCAAATTAGGAAATTTCAACATACGTACTGATGCTCCCTCAAATACCTTAACTTAGCAGTTCTCTTTCTAATCAGTTCCATGACTAGGTGTTTCTCCATGCCACCTCAGCTACACACGGATATGGTAATGTCTAATCTTGCCATCACCCAAAAAGTTCTGTTTCTATGGACAAATTCTGAAATTCCTTTATCTGACCATAACCTTTTTTCACTCCATTTTTCCCTATGCCTTATGATTTCTAATTCTGTTCTTTGCCCTCAACGTGCCCTCCACTCGCTCCATTTCTCTGTTATTTCACAGGCCAACAAACTGGAGAGGTTATACTCTCCTTCCCTACATATCTCAACCTGTTGAAGTGGTTTGATTCTACACGATGCTCTACACTCTCATCTCTTAACCTATTACTGATCATACTTTGCCAAACCTCAGTCTTGGTTTATTCTCATCATCCACCTCCTTTGATCCTATTCACATGCTGCCAAACAGAACTGGAGAAAATCACAAAAGCATGTTGCCTCTGTCCATTACAAATTTGTTACATAATCTTAAATGGGCCCTCACTGTAGCAAGGCAATCTTTTTACACCTCCCTAATCAAATTGCTATCCAACTCACTGCTGTGGCTGTTCAACACCTTTTTATCATTCCTCAAGCCTCTTCACAGTACCCTCTACCCCCCACCCTCTCAGTTAGATAACCTGCTTCCATGATTCACTTTCAGGTCTTTTTCCAAGAGCTCCCTCTTGTCTCCCTCTTTATCTTATATGTCATTCAGACATCTTTCCCCACTTTATCCTCCTTCATGCATCTCACATGAAGACCTGGCCTTTCTCCTTGCCAAGGCAAATCCTTCACCATACATCCTTGATCTCATCTTCTCCTGTCTTCTCCAGCAGACTGCTCCTTCTTTCAACCCCACTACCTTTCTAATCTTCAATCACTTCCTATCTACTGGCTCCTTTCCTACTGCCTATAAACACATTTGTGTTCCCCTACCCCACCCCCATTCTTAAAAAGCCTTTATTTTATCAGACCATCCCCGCTGGCTATCATCCTCTCTTTCCCTTCTCAGGTACATTAGGTACCTCCAATTCCTCAATTCTAAACCCTTTCCGACCTGTCTTCTGATCTCTTCATTTAACTGAAACTGCTCTCCAAAGTCACCAATGACCTTTAAATTATCAAATCCAATAGCCTTTTCTCAATCTTGATCCTTCCTGACCTCTTTCCAGCCTTTGACTCTGTTGAGCACCCTTTTCCTCTCCAGTTTTTTACAATACTGTCTGATCTCTCCTGGTTTTCCTCCTATCCATCTGATCACTCTTTCTCAGTCTCCTTTGTTGGATCTTCACCCAACTCAAGCCCACCAACCAAAGATGTCCTCTACGACTCTGGCTTGGGCCCTCTTCCCTCCTCCTAATGAACCGGTAATTTCATCAGTTCCCCATGGCTTCAATTACTAATTCTATGCCAATGACTGCTGCATCTACATATCCAGCTTTACTTTCTTGACCTTCAGTCTTGCTCAAAGTAAATGTCCTGTAAGCATCTCAAACTCTAATATGTCAAAAACAGAACTCATTATCTTTCTTGCCAAGGACCAACCTCTTGCTGTCTAGGCCACCACCATCCTCCCAGTCACCCAAGGTTTGCCAACTTGGCATCATCCTCAACTCCTTCCTCACATTCAGCTCACATATCCAATCCATTGTCAAGTCTTGTCATTTCTACCTTCACAACAGCCAGGGGACTTGGCTCCACTACTCAACTATACAACCCTGGAAAAGTTATGTAAACTTTATGGGCCTCAGTTTTCTCATCTGTGTGGATCCTAAGAATCTGTAAAACGGAGATAATCTTTGCACTTCCTGCCTCACCGGAGAGCATTTATAAACAGTAAAGCATTATATCAATGTCAATTATTATTACCAGGTCCCTCAGCACATTATTTCCTCTAGTAGTTTGTAACCCACTTTCCTCCAACTAGAAGTCATTCATGGATTGCCAGATCCCTCTTCAGGGTTCACTTTGTCATCATGCCACTAAGGTCTCCAAGACATCCCCCCTAGAGGCACTTTTTCATTAGGTACCATGTTGCTCACTGCTCAAATCCCATGGCCAAAAGGAGCCCCAGATGCTGCCCCAAACCATTCGACTCCTTGAGGCCTCTGGGAAGCAGGGAGTGAGAATTACAAGGCAGCATGGGAAAGCAGCCCTGTTCTACCTGCCCATCCTTTCAGTCAGATGTCTATGAGGAAAGCCAAAGAGGGTAGAGGTTATGCAGAATACGACCCCCATAGTCTTGGGCAATGAGCTTAGTTAGCTAGTGGTAGAATAGAATGGAGAGACAGAGAACAGAGAGTGGACACAATCTTCTCCCCTCACTTGAGGGACACAGAAAGTGCACGTGCCCTGAACAAACATGAACTGGTATCAGGGGCAGAGAAAAGGTGACCCAACCCCCTTTGGGAACAGATTCTTCTTGTCACACCCAGTCCTCTTTGTTCTCTCCACACTGGCCCACCAGCCCCTATCTGAGCACAAAAGAATGCCTGGACTACTTCCTTCACCATCCCTCAGACCCTCAGCAGAAATGGCTGGTCTCAGAGTGGCCTCTGCTGGCTGCCTGTTGTATCTCACCCAGAAATGGAAAGCAAAGCCCTCTACGCCACAGAGAATTCCGGCCACAAGGGGAGGAGCTGTCTTTTATCCAGGGGAGCTGAGTCCTGCACACGGAGGAGTAGCATCTGAAAGCAATGGAACACATTTCCTCTCCTATTCCATTCCTCTCAGGTGAGTGACAGCATTCTTTTATTCACGGTACTTTTACTGTTATCTACAACTCACCTCCAAGCTTGGAGGAGGAAGCAACATAGCAAGGTGAGAAAGACAAAGAGAGGATTAAGAGGCAGAGAATCTACTCTGGCCCAAAACATACAGACGTGATATGAACAAAGCACCCCCTCATGTGGGGGTCACCTTACAGCCATTCAGTTCAGGTAAACGGTACCTAATGGCACCTAACCTTCATTTTACACATGAGCAATGGGATGATGCTGCAACTGCACAGTCACACAGCTTCGAAGCAGTATGAGTCAGGTCGGAAAGTTTTTTGCCTACTTCCCAAGGCAATCTGGAGGGAATCGTCCATTTCCAACTATCCCTACAGTCCGTTTAACTGCCGAGGTGAACCCCAACACTTGCCTGGGTAACTTGAGCCCAGATGTTCTGACTCTAAGGCCAGCGTTCTTTCCACTACACTATGAAGCAGCATCATGATACAATTCAACATACATTAAAGCACACTGGCCTAGGAATTAGATTTGGGGTCTGCCACTATTTGGCTATGTGACCCTGCGCAAGTCTTAACATCTAAGCCTCATTTTTCTCATCTGAATAAGAGTATGAACTAAATGCTCCCTAAGGTTCTATCTATATCTAAAATTCTATAAGAAAAGGAAAAACAAAACTCTGTGATCTAAGCTTCTGTCCAGCAGTGACTATACTATTCCTCCCTCCCCCTCCACTCCTGGGAGCCCCAGGTCCTACAGACAGATGATATAATAAAAAGAACATTGTCTTTAAGGTCAGAAGATCTAGTTTTAAACCCAGCTCTGCTACTGTGTGACTTTGGACAAATCACTACCCCTCTCTTGGCCTGTTTATTCATTTGTAAAATAAAGGGGTTGGACAAGATCTCTGAACTTTCTTTCAATTCTAAACCCTATGGCCAGGACAAAGGCTGGCTGGCAATGTCACTTTATCAACACCAGAAATCTTAAGACAAAGAAATTCCCTCCTATTAAAATCACAGCTGTCATGCCTCCTTGTCCATCACCCTTTGGCTCACAGGATAGCTTTCACATTCAAATGTGGAGGACCATGGCAACCCTAACACACCAAACCCCAACTCCAGTGTACAAGTGCCTACTCCAAAGCAAGGAAACAAGGCTAGACAGAAAAAGCCTTAGCCACATAACCTAGGGAACTAGCTGGCCAGACTGACCCTCTTTCAACTGCCTCTTGTCCTCTGTGACCATAGGTGACTGCCCCTGACCCACTCTTTCCACCCTAAACTCTTCAGTTCACTCTTGCCCTTGTATCACACACTTGTTCTTTCTGTCTTTCTCCCCCTCATGCATCCTGCAGGTAAAATTAACTTGTCTGTAGAGCTAAGATGCTGTTCTACTTTACGAGAGACATGTCTATAGAATGCTGGGTTCTTGCAGAAGGGACTCCTGTCCAAATACAGGTTAAACTACATGACCTCTAAGGTCCCACCCAACTCTGAGATTCTGGTAATACCCAAATGCTGCAGGACGGGTTACAATGGGCCTGAAAGTTCAAGTGATGCAGTAGGAAAAGCAATGGATTTCAATTCAGAGGATAAGGGTATTAGTTTCCTCATCAAAATTGGGGGTGGGAGGAGAGGGGAGAACAAGAGGAGGTAAGAAAAGGACAAGAAGCTTTCTAAGATCTCTTCCTGCTCTACATATATGATCCACAGAGGTACTGTTATCTAAGGAGAGGTTAAGTAGGCATATCTTACCCCACCCAGGTCAGTCCTAGGTAAAGTATCTATTTAACACCCCTTCTCTCTCTGTGAGGGACATGGACAGCTATCCAACAATATGACATCCCTTACATCAAACCCCTACCCACAAGTTCCAGCATCTTACTTATCAAAAAATTTAGCTCCCTTGGCAGCCAAGCTTGCCAGATTCCAAAAGAGTGAGTAGCGGGATTCCCAACCCCCATTATTGGACTGTTTGGTGCTGAAAAGTTCCACAGTATCATATACACATAAGCCTAGCCCTGCACACCCATACAACTTCATACCTCGGTACTCCCAGTCACTGCTATCTTCCTTTGCCCCTATAAGAAACCCAAAGAATACCATAACTTCCACCAGAATTGAGATGGGGTCAGCTCATGCTACAGTCCTGCCTGTCTCAAAATGAGGCACCCCTTCTAAGCTACTCCCAAAGTAAGCCTTTCCCCCAATCAGCATTGCTCTTTTGACTGCCTGAGCTTCTAGTTGATAGAGAATACTTGCTCCCCCCCCCTGCATTTCCCCTAAATGCAAGTACCTCATTCCCTGAGGAATTGGGGGTGGGGGAAGGATTGCTTGACTTAGTCTAGAAAAGTTTCAATGCTCCTGTATCCTGGGTTATAAATATGATGGCCTGGCATCCTCTGGGTTGTCTAGGAAACCCTTAGCCCAGGTATTCCCTTTCAGAGAGGTGAGAAAGCACCCTTTCTGCTTCTGTACCCTACTTCAAAGACTCAGGCAGGCCCAGATATAATGTGAGAGGAGGCTATGGCCCCATTGTCCTGGTAAGGCTGGAAGAGCCAAGAGAGCAACACCTGAGGCTGGCAGCGTTAGGGTAGATACAATCGGCTAACACTGTGCTCCTACCTCCACTTCAGCTGTGGGGGAGTCCTACTCTACTTTGGGAACTATCCCCACTGACTTCTCTCATTCTACAGTCATCATATTAACCAGTGAGGTGCGGAATGCTGCCTGCACTTTCAGAAGTGGCCACTGTGTCAGTTGGTTTTTGCTTAACTGTTTTTGCTTCAAGTGAGGAGTTAAGGGAGGAGATCTATCCAGAAATTATTGTGATGTAAAAACAAAGGGCATCAATAGGACTTTTTTTTAAAAAAAAACTAAGAAAAAAACAACTGGGAAAGGGGAAAAGCTGAGGCCTTCACCATGCTCCTCAGACTGGGCTGCTCCTTAGAGTGGGCTACCCCACAGACAGCAAGAGTTTATTTTCAGAAGGCAGCCTCACCCTCAGAAATTTCACCAGAAGATATTCAGCATCACTTGCAATCTTTCCACAGAGCCGAGTCTCTGACCCCTGCCTTTTCAGGCTTCTGCTTTGGCCAGCAATTTGAGTCTGAGTATTATTACTACATCAACACAAGCCACTAAGCCTGTTTCAAGCCTTGGAAAATTATGCCTGGGACCAGCTAAATGAAGAAACCTATCCAACCAGGTGAGACTGTCCCTACAGAAGATGAGAGTTAGGATAAAAAATGAGAGACAACTGTTTACCAAACAGGGCCTGACCCCTCAGTTCCTAAATATCCCACTGCAACACTCCCACTCCCCAACCAAAAAAAAAAGATGGGTCCTAACAACTAGAGAAAGAATATTAAGCAAACTTTTCCAAAGTCAGCTAGGCTACCCCCTGAGAGTCCCTCAATTATGACCAAACACCCTCATCCTGTTTTCTTTCCTACATCATATAGTATCAGTTAGGTGCCAATCACTCTGAAAACTCAGAAAAGCACCAAGAAATAGAAGATTTCAAATTCTAAACTAGGACTCTTCAGTTTTGATTTGGGAAAGAGCTCCTTAAGAGTGGTAATTATTTTTCTTTTTGTCTTTGCATCTCCAGCACCGAGTACAATACTCTGCTTAAGTACTGCTGGAATGGACTGGAGACATGAGTGGGAGGCAGTACTGGCCTGCCTAGACTTATATACCCATTACACACAAGGCCCCAAGAGGACTGCCTTCCAGGCTATCTTGTGCTGTCATCCCTCACGAGACCCCTCTGTACTTGCTCTTTTTGCCATCAGGTAACCACAACATGCTTACCACCAACCAAGTATTCTTCCTTCCCCACCCTCTGGACAGCAAGCTTTTCCAGTTCGCATGCAAAGAAGAAAAGTCGCACCACTGCAATACCAGAGTAATACGGGCTATCTCACTAGGTACCAGAGCAACTTCTAAACTCTGCCCTTCGTTCTTATCCACATTCATAAGGTACCAGTCCTAATACCAGCATCTCAGGTAGTTAACTTGTGAATGCAAGGACAGCTTTAGGATTGGGAAAAGAACACTGCTCTTCACGGGGAAGTTAGCAAAAAAAATATTAATTTCAAAAATAGGGAGCTAGGGCAGAGCAGGTTAATGGCCTTTTTAGCATCTTGCATTCTCTAATTCCACCTTTTTTTGAGGCCCCTCACCTCAAACATATCAAAAGAAACATTCAAATGCCCTTCCAATTAAAGGCAAAGCTCCACATACTTACATGAAAGAAACCATTTCAAAAACTTGTGCCAGAAAGCAGGAGATAGTTGGCCTTCCCCAAACAACTATCAAAAACCTGCCCTGCCTCTTCCCAGTTTCCTAGCTCTTGGAGGACATATCATTCTTGCCCCAAATTTTGCCCCATCTCTCCTCCCCTTGGCAACTGACTCCCACTGGGGTTCAGGGTAGTCTTCCATGTGCCTCTTACAAACGGATGAAAAATCAGAGCCCTATTTGTACCCTAAGTCAGTTCTCTATTCCTCCCAGAGCACCCAGGGATTGCAGTACTTCAAGTACAGAGGTAAGGGAACCGTCTTCCCCTGAAACTCCTCCCCACACCAGATGGGAAGAAAAACCTGCCACCCCTACCACTATGTCCAACTATTTCCTCAGGTTGACTTTTTTGAGTTATAGCAAAGAACCTCTAGCTGCCTAGCTGGGGTTTCTAGGATCCTCCCTACTCCCCCTTTCCTCAGCATTGCCCCTTCTTTGCTGAATTTATGATGAGCAAATAGGGTGAGAAAAATAAATCTGAAACATCTTCTAAGGACTGTAAAAGCCTAGGCAAACTTTCAGAAATCGTAGGCAAAGGAAATGACATGCCCTCAGACTTGCTACACCTGGGATGGTTCCCAAGTACTGCTCACTCTACCTGCATCTGCATTTTTTTCCCCATGCATAGCAGAGACTTTCGTACTGTGCATAAGGAAGCGTATGATGGCTGGGATCCAAGCAACTACCAGCAGCCAAAACGTGTGCACCTGCAGGCTGAGCTTACCAACATGCTCAGGAACAGCAACGCCAAGTTTGATGACTCCACAGTGACCAAGGTAGGCAGGTTACACCCTGTGCAAAGTGGCCACCAGCACAGGATCTGCTAACACCGATGGAGTACAAACACCTGTTCCCCAAGTTTACCTCAACCCGCTAATTCCTGGGAATCCAGACCCTGATTTCCTACAACTCAAGTGCTGCCTTTCCTGCTCCTCTGCTCTCTTTCTAGGTTTCTTTCCCACCACCCTTCAAAACAATAAAAGTAGCCACAGGCAAGCAGCCCACCAGCACATTCAGAGTTCCTGAAGCGAAGTTTCAAGACATCACCACCAACAAGCAATTCTTCCAGAACTGGGGAGCCCAACCCCGCATCCGCCACAGAGATGTCCATGATGGGACCTACCTTAGGCCTGTCGTAAGCAAGCAGGGAGGAGAGAAAGAATTGGGCCCCTGGGGTCCTTCCTCAACTCACACTCTTATACTTGGTCTGAGATACAGGCGACTAGACTCTACCCCTGATTTATTACATTATCTTGGGGACATAATCTAACCTCTCCACATCTAATTTTTCTTTCCTGTTGGGGAAAAAAAATCCACAGATGATAGGCCCTACCGATGATGGGGGAGATGGCAAAAGGGGGAAAAGGGACTAGATAGTATATTTTCACCATTGTTCTCCTTTCCTTGTGGTAGAATAATTTCTCACAACCTCTGAGTAGGTGATGGTCCTTGCTGGTTGTTGGAGAAGTAAGATTTCACCTTCTTTCACTCCAATTACTCCAGCTGAACATCCTCTTTTTTCTCTTCCCAATAACTTGGATTCCTAGCTGTCATTTGAAAGCCAAACCACCACCAAGAGCACTTTCATGCCTACAACTGCCAAGAAGGTGAAGTTATTCAAACCCAAAAGCAGCAGCATCAAGATTGGGGGAAACCATGACTTCTCCACTGTGTACAGGGAGGTATACAGGTAAAAAACAAGGGCTTAAGTAAGAAGTCAATCCTATCTACACCAAGGGGGTTGGTGTGTCACCGAGAAAGAAAGCATTCCTGGGGGAGAAATGGGTCAACTCCAAAACCTAGAACTATTCTTGCAGGCCGCTTCAGTTGCCCAGCTGTTCACTGCACACTCATCTGATCCAAAATCAGGACACAAAAACGAACAGAGAGACTACAACTCAACTCACCTGAGCAAACTATCTGGGGCTCAGGAGGCAGTCCTCTGTCAGTTTCATACCCAGAAAATAAGGATTTTAGGCACCTTAGAGCTTTGAAAACAACCTTCTTCTAGGAAAAGGAATAAGCCCCAAACCAGTTTACCTGAAGTGGCACTGACCAAGGACACAGTAAGTTATCAATTATATTCTGTCCACAGCATGTTCCTTCCTACTGTTTAATTGGTCTTAAGTAGTTTTATCAAAGAGTTACTGAGACAGAATAGGGAAAGAGGTTCTAAAACTGATTAAAAATTTTTTCCTTTAATTGAAAAGGTTTCTGTAGCTATTGTAACTCTTGATCTGATTGATAAAATGATCTACCACTCCCATGAAGAACTTTTACAACATGAGAATGGTATGCTCTTCATCTCTCCTTGGATCTAAGGTGTCTTGGGTAATCTACCACCAAAGTCTGGGTCATTATGTAACTTTATGAGTACCTAACAGGAACTAATTAAACTGAGGATAGAAGAAGGAAAAGGACATCTCCAGAAGACACTCATTCCTACTATTCTGAAAGACCCTAGACCATGCCTCCCCTAGTCCTGCAAGGTAAATAACAGTGCATTCCAGTTCCAAGTCACAAAATCATACAGCCAATTATTAACAGGCCAGTCCCAGAAGTATCATTCCCCCAAGTCTCTGGTGTCCCCAAACACTTATGGGCAGAGAAACGGAAAAGCTTATAAATTTAAAATAATATGAATTAAGCACATAAATCAACAGGAACAGAGCAGTGTATCTGTTTCCCCTCCGGGCCAGTCCCTGCAAAAACAAATATTATCTCCTCTTCTCATCCCAATTAGTGGTATGTTTTGACATATGCCAGTAAAGCAATCATTAAGTATTTCCTGGCAAGGTAAATAGTGAAGGGTCCTAAAAAAAAAAAAAGTAAATATGAAACCAGAGATTCCTGATCAAACAAAACTCAGCTGTGAAGAGAAAGCGAGTGAATATGGCAGTGACTAGACCTACCGCCACCTGCTACTCAAGCAAAGGGACTGGCACACAGAACAGCTTAAAAAATGACCAAACTTTTCTCAAAAGTGTTATCTATATTTTCACAAACACCTTAGCGAAAAAAATTCTAAGGTTTAAGAAACATTATGCTCTGGATAATTCAGACCCTTTTCCAGAATGTTTCCCAAGCAAGAATCAACCAGTCTCCCCCCCTCTTACCTATCAGCTCTGAGCCTATGCTTCTCCTTGACAATTCTTGGCCAGAGTTAAGAAGAGAATGGGGAGGATGAGCCCTAGTTTGGCAGGGATTCCATCTAACATGTTTCAAGTGAAGAATAAGAGTTCCTTATTCTCACAAATGCAGGAACTGACTCAAAGTCAAGTTCTGCTCCAAATGGCTGCACAATGGCCAGACAGTCATTCTCCAGGAGGATGAGAAGCGAGCAGTGCACCAAAACCATCCAAGCTGATCCCTGCTTCTCGAACCACCTCTAACCCTCACTTAACCCTGAGAAAGCCCCTGCCACCTATGCTCTAGATACATGAAACATGACCCCCCCCCCAACAGGGCCCACTAGAAGGAGAACCAGTTGTTTTAGAATTCTTCAGAAAACAGAACACAAAAAGAAAATAGTTACAAAAATAGATGTATATTTGTTAGAAAAAAAAAAGAAAAAGCCCAATCAAGAATGAATTCTGGGGCCTTTGTATCACCCTCAGTGGTGCATGTGTCACTTAAAAGACAGTAGAAGCAGCTGTGTGAATGACTGAATACGGACATTTCCCTGGGTCACGGTGCCCCCCAACAACCAGATGTCAAAGCCTAAGCTCTCTCCCAGGGTCACTGGTGGCAACCATGGTTGGTCTGTGTAAACTGTTAGCCTTGGCCTTGCCTGGCTGTCTTATCTGTCCTTTTCCCACCATCAGAACCTACAGCCATTGCTTAGCTACAAGAGCTACATATCCTCAACGCTCCATTTATAGGCAAGTTCATCAACAGCTTTCTTGCTGGCAAGTCGGGCAAAACGCTTCTCCTCAAAGCCATTGGACCTGAAAGTAAAAGAGATATCACAGTAATTATCAGTTGTGCAGGTACCTGTACAGGCCATTCTAGGGGGAAACCCACAGAAAGGAAAAGATAGATATTGACTCCTTAAAGGACCTTATAATTTAAGGGGAAAATATAGAACAGATACATAAAGCACACATTTTAGAAAAGACATGATTCAATCATTGCACAGAAACCTATAAAGACATGTCATGTGGAAAAGCTGGAGTGACTAAAACAAAATAAGGCTGATAAAAGAAATCTATAGGTGGGTGAGCCTGTAATGACTGCATCTCTCTATTCCAATCACGAGTATATTCAGTGCACCCTCTTTTCCTGTGTCACATGTATGACCTATGGTAACAAAGGGACTTTGTAATGTCTAATCATGATGGGCCTGAAGTTAACAGGAAACAGAAAGGAAGAAGTATGAATAACCAGAGAAAAGTAAGTATAAGAGAACTGGGAACAAGTGAAAGCCAGGAACAGTAAGGAATCTACCGGGAAAGTTAAGAGGAGCTGGCCACCAATGGAGAGCTAATGTGGGGAGATTTCTGAGCTTGAGAGCTAACAGGAAAAGAACAAGTAGCTCAAGTTATAAGGGGGCCTAAACTCAAGGACTAGGCCTCCAGAATCACCCAGAAAAGGTCTTTCTTCCTTAGTGTCTAATGGAGCAAAGAGAAGTAACTGTCACTGTCCTAGGAGCAGGAAGAGCTAAGAAGCCAGGATAGCTAAAGGCAGGGGGAGAACAAACCCCGAGGCCACACTGTATATCTGTCATTTGTCTATCTCTGTATTTTGTGCTCTAAAATTTCTCTTCCCATACCTGTAATAAAGTCATTGCTTAACCTTTAAACTGGTGACTAAGCAAAATGTCACTCACTGCCAAGAAAGAATGAAGAGAATAAAAAGACCAGGGTGGCTATGACTAAAAGAGGCTCTTCCCAAATCTTTGGCCAGTGTCAGGAAAAGTGGCCAGAAAGCATTACAGATGAGCATCAGATACAAAAGGCATGAGATACGTAGTTATCTTCGTGCTTCAGCACAGAACAAGAGTGTTTAGAAGAAGAAAGAAGGATGTATTCCAAGAGTAGGGAATGGGGGCAGCTAAGTGGCGCAGTGGATAGAGCACCAGCCCTGAAGTCAGGAGGACCTAAGTTCAAATCCAGCCTCAGACCAAACACTTGACACTTACTAGCTGTGTGACCCTGGGCAAGTCACTTCACCTCAATTGCCTAGAAAAAAAAAAGTAGGGGATGATAATTGTTGGAAGGAAGATAGGAAGGGAAAGGAAAGAAAAAGGAAAGAAGGGAGGGGAGATAGAAAGAGGGGGGGAGAAATAGAATTTTTTCAGCTCTATGTGCTAAGCACTTGGGATATAAATGTGTAGCTGGAATGGAGTATGACACAGGGTATACTAAAAGATAACACATAAGGATAGGACCTGTGATTTCACAGATGTAGAAAATTTCCAGATGAGGAAACTCTCTCTACCAGTGCAGGTTGGCATCTTCTCTGCAACTTATAGTCTTGACAGTTGTCTAGAGCCCTGAACGGTTCATTTAAGTGACTCGCTCAGGGTCACACAACTAGTATGTATCTGAAATGAACCAGCCTCGAACCCAAGTCTTTCAGGCTTCAAGGCCAGCTCTATCCATTATGCTACAGAATCTCCAGTTAAGCTAAGGTCACCTTGAGCTAAGTAGCAGGAAAAACACAGACAACGACTAGTGGACAATGAACAACCAGCACATAGGTCTACCTGTCTACACCATCCCAGCGATACCCAGGCCAGATGTTGAATCTGTTAAGGGGAGGCGCAGGGCCATTGTAACGAGGCTTTTCTAAAGGAAAAAAAAAGAGAGAAAACTCAGTCACAATTTCATTCCAACTGCCAAAACTGTTACCAACAGTGAAGAAAAACACCTCATTTATAAAATACTTTAAGGTTTAAGAAGCCTTTCCTCAGCCTTTTTCCTTAGACTTTCCTCAGCTCTGTGAGATAGGTAAGTAGTGCAAGTTTCATAATACTGAAGCTCAGCAAGGCTATGCCCAGGGTTATGTAGCTACTGTGTTCTAGGGCTAGAATTCAAACTCAGGTCTGACTCCAAGCTCCCAGAGCCCCTTCCATGATACCATGCAGCCTTTCCTACAAAGAAAACATTTCTGTGCAGGAATCTGTGTCTAATGGAACCCATATATTGAGACCTCCTGGGCTAGAGACCAAACATATCAAAGGAGATAACTTGAAGTCATGCCACCTCTGTGAGTGCAAAACCATCATCAGTAATCAATCAATACTTAGGTCTGTAGCCGACCTTTAAGAATGAGGACATACCACTGACAGTCTTGGCCTCCCGCCACTCTGAAATGATTCTTATCACATAGTCTGTTCTCTACTCTCTCCCCTCCATGCCTTTGGAAGCCTCACCTTTCTTGTCTTTGTTCTCTTTGGCCTTACTCTTCTTAATGAAGTTGGCCATGGGGTCACCCTCTCTCTCCTGCTCTCTGAGCATCTGATCCAGGTCCTCATCATTGATGTAGCGGGCCAATGGCTTCTGCATTTCCTTTATTGCATCCTCCACATTTTGTTGCTGCTGCCGGCTCTGGGCAAGGCTGAATAAAGAGAAGACCCTTTGGAAAACTGTCTACAATTCCTGATCCTAAATAAGGATAGAAATACCCTACCCTACTTGGAGCATTTCCTCTAACAGCCAATGAAATTCAAAATGCTATCTTGTTCCCAATATCCTTGAAGATAGGAGATGGAGCTGCTACACCTGTCAGCAGAGTAGTAAAACTGGCTCTACCCAATCTCTACAGTGTAACCCAAAGCTTAAATACCTTTAGTGCTTCTCTTACCCTTTTCCCCACTGAGCATACTGCTCATTTTTCTCTGACTCCTCCTCTTCTTTTCGCCGTTGCTCTAATCGTTCTAGCTTCAGGTCCCTCTTGCGGCCAGACTTATCTCGAAAAACGGTTTCAGCATTTTGGAATTCAGCTAAAAGAGATGCAAAGAACAATTTCAGGGTCCTTTTTTTCCTTTTTAATGTAAACAAGTATCAAAATCAAAACTTCTTGCAGAATTGTGAAGAGAGGAAAAGTGTCCTAAGTTTAAAAGGGAAAAGTAACAGCTCAGGGCCCTGAAGCTAGAGAGGAAATAACTTTATAGCTGGACCACAGACTACCACCCAAGCTACAGATCTTTGTCAGCTACAGACCTAAGAAATTATATCACAGAAAAGAAGGAAAAAATCACTTGGACCCAAAGAATGGTTCAAATAATGTAATAAAAACCAGAGCTTAAATCCTACATCAGTTAACAGACCAAAAGATGACTAAGAAGCTTCATGAGCTTGGATTAGCCTACTGGTCTCCAAGTTTTTACCTTCCAAATGTTTGGTTTCTTGGTCCTGCCTCCTGAGCTCCTGCTGCTCTCTCCTTACATCAGACACCAACCCAGTTTTGGCCCCAGAAAACATCTGCGTGGCCTGTGCAATTGAAAGGGGGTACCACAAATGAATGAGACAGCATACCTCCCCAACAGGTACATACCAGAGGGACTCAAACACTAATAGTTGTAGTTTAACTAGATTATCCACAACGACTACGGAGCAAATGCTCTGGGAAAGGAATGTGTTAACTTTCATTTTATACCCTCAATATAGACCACAGGATAAGCAAAGTAAGAAAAGAGGATGACAACAAAATCCAAAAGGAGAGCTTTTGTGAAGAAGTAATGATTTTGCCAGTTTTATGAGGAGAAAGAATCTTAAACTAAGATACTAGGTAAGGCAGTACTAAACAGCAGTAGTTCTCACTTACCAAGTAGTAAACTTATTATCTGGAGAAGGGACTTAAGTTCACTTTTATGAAGCTGGTCAGAAACCTGTAGCATGAACTAAAAAAGTCTTTACACTGCTCTACAATACTCCACTTACAACAATAAACCCCAATATTCATGGTTCTGTGAACTGTAGACAATACAGTCACAAATGATGTGGCCATTTAAAAACTTTTATCAGCCATTGTTCCAAGATGGTAAACTGACCCGAAAATCAAATGTAAGGTAACTGCTGATGCCTTTCAGTAGCATACTACTGAACAATATTGCACAATATTGACTGCTTCAAGAGTTAGCAAGGAACAGAGAGATAGATGAAATTTCAGTGATTTGATCAAAAGAAATGCTTTACTTCATTCATTCAAATAAATGGTTTGAGTTTCTTGATCTATGTAGCCAGCTACTAAAAAAAAAAAGCTCCAAGCTGATCGTATTATATACTTAAAAGAAAAAGCAAGCTGTACATAATAGAGACCTGCAGTCTTACGGACAATCCTCTTTTTCATTCTACTATGTATTTGTTAAATGCAGGGGGGAAAAAGCCCTAAAAATTAATCAAAACAAAGTACAGAGCCATATCAATTCCTAGAGGACAATAAAATTCTCCAGAAAGAAATAGCATACACCCCTGGGTCATGTTAAAATCTGTCAGATTTTATTCTTTTTAAACGAAGTTTAATAAATTCTTATTAGCCCTTACCCAACTCTCCCCACCCCAAAATTACTTTGTATATACTTTGCATTTACTCATCAATCAACCAACAAGCATTTATTAAGCCCCTATTACGTGCTAGTTACTGTGCTAGGAGCCAGGGTTACGAATGCAAAGAATGAAACCACCCCTACTTGCAATGAATTTACATTCTATTAGAAGTGACAAATACACATAAAAATAAACACAGCTCAAATATAAAGTCAATAAATACAACTATATAAAAGTAGTTGAAAGCAAGGTAGTTTGGGAAGGAGGGCACTAGCAGTTGGCGGAATCACGAAAGATTTCACACAGAAGATGGTTCTTCAGCTGCATCTTAAGGGAAGAGAGGGATACTCTCAGGCAGAGGCAAGGACGAGTGCATTCCAGGTACACGGGACAGACAGTGCAAAGGCATGGAGCAGGGAGCTGGAATCTCATCGCTGAGCAACAGAGAGAAGTTTGTCTGGAACACAGAGTGTGGAAGGACGAGTACTATAGGACGAGGCTGGAAAGATGGGCTGGGATCAAGTCGTGAAGGGCTTTAAAAGCTAAAAGGGAATTTTATATTTTATCTTAGAGGCAAAAGGAAGCCACTGGAGTGATTAAGGAATCAAACATTTATTAAGCACCTACCATGTGCTAGGCATTGTGCTAAGCACTTTCCTCTTTCACTTGAACCTGACAACAACTCTGAGAGGCAGGTAATATTATCTCCAGTTTACAGCTGGGGAAACTAAGGCAGAGTTAAATGACTTGCCCAGAATCACAACAGTTAATAATGTCTGAGGCTAGATTTGAATTCAGGTATTCCTGACTCCAGAAGCCAGTCCTCTATCCACTGCCCCACCTAGCTGCCTCATAACTAAGGGAGTTGAATGGTCAGATCCCTAATTTAAGAAACATTACTTTGGCAACATTAGGATGGACTAGAGTGGGGAGACACTTGAGGTAGAAGTCAATTAGAAGGCTATTGTGATAATCTAGGTGAGAGATGATGAAGACCTAAACTAAGATGGTAGTTGTGTGAGTAAAGAAAAGAGGGTAGATATATGTGAAGGCAGGAATAACAAGATGTAGCCACTGACTGCATATGTGAGGGAAGAAAAATGAGAAGCTGAGTTACGTTGGAGACTGGAAGGAGGGTGGTGTCACTGGCAGAATGGGAAAATTTGGCAGAGGTAAGGGTATAGAGGGAAAGTTAATGAATTTCACTTTAGACACGTTTAATTTAAGATGTCTCCAGGATATCCTGTTTGAAATATCCAGTAGGTGCTTAGTTATAGGACTGAAACTCAAGGAAGAGATGGTGGCTGGATATACATATTTGGGAGTCAGTTTCCTAGAGATGATAATTAAACCCATGGGAGCTGATGAAGTTACCAAGGGAATGTAGAAGGAGCAGAGGGCCTAAGAAAGAACCTTGAGGAACACTCAAAGACAGGGGGAGTGATACAGATGACAAGATAGCAAAAGATACTCAAAAGGAATGGGCTGACAGATAGGGGACAAACTAGGAAAGAGTAGTGTCCTGAAAAACCAGAAAGAAGAGGATATACAGGAGGAAAAGGTGGTCAGCAGAATCAAATACAGCAGAGAGATCATGAAGGGTGAGGACTAAGAAAAAAACTATCACATATGGTCATTAAGAAATCATTGGTAACTTTAGAAGGAGTAGTTTCAGTTGAATGACTGGGTCAGAAGCCAGACTGCAAAGGGTTGAGAAGTGAGTGAGAGAAGTGGGCAGTTGGGGATAGATAGTTTTTTCAAAGAGTTTGGTTGAGAAAGGGAAGAAAAACATAAGATAATAGCTTGAAGGGATGGCTGGGTCTAGGTTTAAGGATAGAGGCAAATGGGCAAGTTTGAAGGCAGTGGACAAGGAATCAGGTGATAAAATGGAACCCTCAAGAGAGAAGGGAGATGATTAAGGATGCAATCTGCTGGAGAAGAAAACAAATGCATACATGCACTTGCTCTGGCCAGAAAAGCTAGCTCTTCATCAGAGACTGGACAAAAGTGGCAGATGATGTTAAGTACTTTTGAGATGAAAAAATGGGAGAAGAGGGGACTCACATCAAATGGTCTCAAGTTTTTCAGTAAAGTAAGAGGCAAAGTCCTCAATGGAGAGAAGAATGAGGTCTAGCAAGCTCAAGAAGGGAAGAGAAGGTGTGGAATAGTTTTTGTGGGGAATCAGCTAAAGAATCTGTTGGGAAAGAATACTAGGACTTCCTTACTGCAGCAGGGTCTCAGTTGAACTTGGATAACTGGAATTTAAAATGTACCCAGTCATTATGAGTGTCAGACTTCCTCCAGCTTCATGAAACAGCTCACAAGGAGGAACAGAGGAAGTGGATGGTGGTAGTAACCCAGTGCTAAGGTCTCGAAAGAGAAGTGCATCCATAAGACAAAGAGGGCAAGAGGGCAAAAGAGGGCAAGACTCAGGAGCACAGGACAGGTTAGAGTTGAAGTGATTAACTACCAGTGTTGAGAATGGAGAGGTAGGAAAATGAAGTCAGAACAAAGGTAATGGTCTAAGACAGTAGCAAGGTGTGAAAGGAATGAAGGTCTCAATAAAGTGAATAACAGACACAGGAGGAAGGTTACATGTGGCAAGATGAAATGACAGGAGATTGTGGCCAGATAAGAGACTGCTATTGTTTCTAATTAGGGAAGTGGAACACTTTTGAGTACTGCCTCAGGTGGAGTGATGAAATAAGTCATGGAACCTAACTAAGGAGGCTGAGGAATTGGGAGCGTGCAGGAAGCCTGAGGGAGCATCTACATGGATTTCAGTGTGCTTGTTGCTTCCCCCTAGTACCTGGAAAGCAGGGACAATTTCCATTTTTGTCTTTCTTTCTCCAGCACCTGGCAAATAAGTGGGCACATATATGCTTGGCACATAGTAGTCATTTAATAAATGCTTGTTGAATGTCACTGAATTCTTTGGAGTAAAACTCCTTTACTATAATCTTATTTTATCATAACTACACAGGTTCTGTCTGGCTCTTTAGCACACCAAGGCCCTGTCTGAGCTGGAGAGCCCCTGAGCTTCTGGAATTAACAGAAGCTAGGTTTTCCAAAGCTCCTTCATGTTAGGCATCAGTCTTCAGGCTCTGGAAACTAAATTCTGTAAGTCAGCAACTAACCACAGTACTTTGGTCAAGACGGGAGAAAAAGCAGCTTTTTGGGCTTCCTAAAATTAGGGATGACAGATCTAAGAGGTAATAAATGCAGAAGATACTTGGTACAATTGGATATATACAAGCTCACCTTTCTGGACTGGGTTAAAATGAGTGCCTAATGGCAAGGCTTATAGAATGACCTCTAAAGATCCTTCCTGTCTTAAGAATTCTTCATTCATTCAGATAGCAAAAAAACAAACATTTATTGACACATCTACACCGTGAAATACATAGTGCTGGGTGCTGAGAGAGGCATGGGGCTAACTAACTAAAAGGGCCTTGTCCTCAAGAAGTTAACAATCTAGTCTTAGTTACTACACCTTCAAGGGCTTTCTCTATTGGCACATTTTTTTTAGTTGACATCTAAGTGGCCTAGACGAGGCACTCTGCATGGAGGAGGGTGACTAAACTCTTGGAACACCCACCTTTGCTCCAGCAGGCTGACCCCTTCGGGGCGGAGAGAGGTCTGAATCAGAAGCCCTGGTTTTCTGCTTCCTTCTTGGTGGGGAGAGGTCTGAATCAGAGTCTCGTTTCTGCTTGTTCCGTGGAGGAGACAGGTCTGAATCAGAAGCCTGCTGGTTGCTCTTCCCAGGAAGAGAAGAATCTGTATCAGGTCTCTGGTGTTTCTTGGTTGTGGGGTTTGTCTGAAATTTCTCGTGGCTCGGAGAAGAGTCTAGAAATTAAGGGAGAAAAAGTTTAAACACTTCAGAATAATTCAGAAATAAATTTTTCTTCCACTGGATTGTGCTTTCCGATCAGTTAAAACTCCTTCTCTAGGAACATTTGACTGAATGACATTCCATTTTCTGCAGAGGACCTGTAACTGATGTGATGCCCAAACCACACAAAACGTGAAGGAAAAAAAGAGATGAGTGTTTCCAAGACAACTGGAAGACTGCGAGTCATGACTGCGATGTATGTTTCTAAATCTATGACAGCTGTGTTAGATGCCAAGGTCCCCTAGTCAGGTCAGAGTTTTTCCCATTAGTAGAATGGAGAAAAGAACCCTAACCCATTTCCCGAAGGTAGTATGAATGTTATGGATTCCTAGAAAATGGCTTTGAGGTTCCCAGTACCAAGGAACCAAAACAGTTCAAAGCACTTTAAGTCAGAGGTTGAAACCAGTATCTAGGCATGGGGAAAGAAGGAGCAGTTTCATTGCACAGTATTAAATCTCACTCCTTTGCCACAGATGCCACTGAAGAAGATGGAATGCACAATAAGTTTCCCAGGGTATTGATTCTGGGAACTAATATTCTTTAGTTCAAATCTCACTACTAAAGATTATGGACTCTTAAGGCAATGAATAAAGTCCTTGTCCTCAAAGACATTAGTATTAAACAAGTTACTACCCCCCCCCAAAGATTTCTCCACTGGCTATATCTTTTTTTAAGTAGGTAGAGAAGTGATCTAGAGGAGCCACATTTCAGGGAGACAGAAGACAATCTGAATCCTGAAATACTCACCTTTCTAGGCGATTGACACCTTTCCTAAAGGTCTCCTGACCTCTTCAGTCTTACATCACCAACTGCCTACTGGACATTCAAAGTGGGTGTCCCATAGCCATCTCAAATTCAATGTATCCAAAACAGAACTCATTATTTTTACCACCCCCCAACATACACCACTTGCTAACATCCCTACTATCGTCCAGGCCACCACCGTCCTCCCATTCACCCAAATGGGTAATCTCAGCACCATCTTCCAGTACTCACTCACACTAACCCCATATAATCCAATCCATTGTTAAGCCTTGTCATTTCTATTTCCATGACATTGCATGCATATGTCCCCTTCTCTCCTCTGACACTAGCACTGCCCTAGTGTAGACCCTCCTGACTTTCCACTTAACGACTGCAGCAGCCTTCTGGTTAGTTTCACTACTTCAAGTCTTTCGCCATTCAAGTCAATCTTCCACTCAGTTCCCAGAGTCATCTTCCCAAAACACAGATCTGACCATGTCACACATACCCCCAACTACTCAATAAACTACAGCAGTTCCCTATTACCTCTAAAATCAAATATAAAATACCCTATGTGGCTTTTAAAGCTTTTTACAACCCAACTCCCCTATCTTTCCAGTCTTCTTCCTTATTTACTTACTTACACTATACCCCCCTTGATGTGTTCTACTACCCAACAGCCCAGGCATTCTTGTTACTTTCCAAAAGAACTGTCTATCTCCTGAGTCTGTACTTCTCACTTACTATGGTCACCTCCCCACATCTGGAATACTCTCTCTTCATTTCTACCTCCTGGCTCCCTTCAAGACTCAGCTTAAAAACCACCTGCTACAAAAGGTCCTTCCTAGCAGCTAGCCCCTCCCCACCCCCTTACTAGCACCTCCCCTTTATCTCCCCATTAAAAAGTGAGCTCCTTGAGGGCAAGGTCTGTGTTTTGGTTTCCCCATTGTTCAGCTCAAGGGGTAGCTTAATAAATGTTGTTGACTGACCAAATAAACAAAAAGCCCAGGAGAAAGTTTGGAACAGGAGGTACTCACCTCTGGAGTCATGCAGCTGTTTCCCTGAACCAGGAGAGGAAGATGATCTATTTTTATGGTGAGAAGATTCATTCCCATGTCTACTGTTCTTCTCCTTCAGACTAAGAGAGGATTTGGCAGGGGCTTTACTAGACAGTGAATGACAAACCTCAGGAGCTAAATCTGGGGAGTCATGACGGGTCCTCCTGGGAGGTGAGGAGTCCGGGGAGTCATGACGGGTCCTTCTGGGTAGTGAGGAGTCCGGGGAGTCGTGACGGGTCCTCCTGGGTGGTGAGGAGTCCGGGGAGTCGTGACGGGTCCTCCTGGGAGGTGAGGAGTCCGGGGAGTCGTGACGGGTCCTCCTGGGAGGTGAGGAGTCCAGGGAGTCGTGACGGGTCCTCCCGGGTGGTGAGGAGTCTGGGGAGTTGTGACGGGTCCTCCTGGGTGGTGAGGAGTCTGGGGAGTCGTGACGGGTCCTCCTGGGTGGTGTGGAGTCTGGGGAGTCGTGACGGGTCCTCCTAGGTGATGTAGAGTCTAGGGAGTCATGACGGACCCTCCTGGGAGGTGAGGAATCTGGGGAGTTGTGACGGGCCTTTCTGAGAGGTGAGGGGTCTGGGGAGTCATGAAGGGCCCTCTCTGCAGGCAAGGAATCCAGGGAGTCGTGACGAGTCCTCCTGGGAGGTGAGGAGTCTGAAGAGTTGTGACGAGCCCTCCTGGGTGGGGATAGGTCTTGCTTTTGTTCTAAACATAAAGCATAAAGTTAGCACTACACAGACTGCTGAGCTCCAAAACACTAGCTAGAGCTCCCCAGAAGTAGTTATCTCAAAACTGTCCAGAAAATCTGAAGGATCAATATAATTGTATTGCTCAAGGATAGTGAACTAACACCCAGCATGGCAAAAGTAAGCTGAAAATGTTCTCAAGGACAATAACAAAATCTCTGTGCACACAAAGAGCGCTGAGTCAGGAGCTCATTTTGAGGTTTGGTGCAGATAATCCTTAGCTGTCCTTTGGAGGGAAAACTGAACTAATAAGACTGGATCAAATCTACAGTTTCACAGGAGAAAAAGGCTGGTTAACTACTGAGCTCACATCATGTCTTCTCTTTAGTCAAGAAAAGCCCCGGCAAAGGGAGGAGTTTGAGATGGTCCAACTTGCAGAGGTGTGGCCTGAGCTAGGTGGGATGGACCGGGTACAGGACAGCTAAGGTGTTTCAATGGCTCTGCTCAGCAACGCCTCTTCTTTTTACCATCCACTGAGTTATGCCATAGTTAATACATGATATATACTGCACAGCCCTTTGCCCTAGTGAATAAATTCATTTTAGACTCCACCCATCAGAAACCTCAAAACAGATATCCAAGATACCAAGTGAAACCTAGAAGCATCAGTTGCTTTCTGAAGATTTGTTCTCCACCATCTCCTCAAGAAGACCCAGAAGCAGCTGCACTTGGGCTTCCCAGAACAGCACACAGAAATATACTGTTCACCATTTCTCCTCTACCCCACCCCCTACCCAGAAGAATGAGGCTGCCTCTCACACAGTTTAGACCTTTAGATCTGTCCCGTGACTTGGCACTCACCTCCTAAGAGCTTCCACTTGTTACTGGCCCGGAATGCCTCCATTTGCTTCACTTCTTCTGGGCGTTCATCAACGAATTCAGCCACCTAGAAAAATATGGCAGACTTGAATAGCCTAGAAGATCCCACTACAGAGTCAAAAGTGACACAGAAAGATTAAAGCAAGGAACATCCATCCCCACCTCTAATACACATAGTTGTAGGAAAGTCTTCTCTCTTCAGGATTTACTGTTCCCTCTGGTTCCATAAACAATTTGTCATTGCCCTAGTTTAATTACAAACCCTCCACTGCCTAATGAAGTGCCAAAAAAAAAAAGGCAATTTGTTCCAACACAAGTCTTTTTTAACAACCTGTCAAGTTCCACATCATCTATTTCTGAGCTAAAAGAAGAGTATATTTTGGTTTTTCCTTTTCTACCCAGCATGATGGCCCTCTTAATTGTCACTACTAGTTTTTTTTTTAAGTTTTATTTTTTTAATTTTTTTTTCCATATGCTTTTGAGTTGAAAATTTTTCTCCCTTCCCCCCCTCCACCCTCCCCAAGACGGCGCACAATCTGACATAGGCTTTACCTTTACATACCCATTAAACATATTTTCACATTAGTGAAGTTGTAAGTAAAAATTAAAACCAATAGGAGGAACCATCAGAAAGATGAAACAAAACTCAACAGAAGGTAAAAATAAGTGACAGCGATTCGACTTCCATAGTTCTTTCTTTGGATGTGGACAGCATTTTCCATCCCGAGGCCTCTGGAGATGTCTTAGATCCTCATAATGCTGAGAAGGGTTCAGTTTAACATTCTTAGTCATTGCATAATGTGGCTGTTAATTGTGTACAAAGTCCTCTTGGTTCTGCTCACTTCACTCAGCATCAGACCATACAAGTCTTTCCAGGTTTTTCTGAAGTCAGCCTGTTCATCATTTCTTATAGCACAATAGTATACCATTACATTCATATACCACAACTGGCTCAGCCATTCCCCAATTGATGGGCATCCTCTCAATTTCCAATTCTTTGCCACCACAAAAAGAGCTGCTATGAATATTTTTGTACGTGTGGGTCAACTGTCACTGCTAGTTAAAGCATAGGAAAGTAGACCAAACCCTGCCCAGCATATAGCCTTCATTTAAAAAAATGACAACTAAAAATTGTTTTTACACATAACTGGGAAAAATATTCATAAAAAAAAATTTTTTAAAAGGAAGAGGTCAGATGGCCACTTTGGTTTAGGTATAACTTGGGACTAGGTGGCCTCCACAGACCCTTCCACCTCTAAGATACATACCGTGAACTACCAAGCTCCAAGCTATTATTCAAATCCCAGACCTAGCTACATTTCAATTCAATGCAACAGACATCTGCTGAATACCGGCTCTGAGCAAGGAACAGCGCTGGCTAGTGGATCCACCAACGTGAAATTCCTAAAAAGATCTAACCATGTTTCTCCTCTGTTCAGGAAACTCTAGCGGCTCCTTATTGCCCCTAAGATAAAATACAAACTCCCCTGTTTGGCACTGAAAGCCCTTTATCACCCAGCTTTGTTGTTCACATCACTCCCTCATTCACCCTACATCCCAGCCAAACAGACTTATTCACTATCCCCATCGATGGCATTACATCTCCTAATCTCATGCCTTCGCACGAGCTGTCCCTCCCACCCAGAACATACTCCCTCCTCATCTCTACCTGCTCAAATCCCCAACATCCTTCAAGCTTTAGTTCAAGTGACACCTTCTAGAAGAGACTTATGGGGATCCTCCCAATTGTTAATGCTATTCCCACTAGAAATTATTTATATTTACCCAATTGTTAATGCTATTTCCAACGGAAATTATTTATATTTACTATGTTTCTATTTTGCATCTACTTATCTGTGTTCATGTTGCTTGTTACTCCCAAACATACTCTCCCTCCTTTCCCCCCCCAACTGCCTCAGGTCCCAGTGAGAATACTTAAGTTCTTTAAAGGCAGGGACTGTTTCCTTTATGTCTCTGTATCCCCAACACTTAGCCTGGTACCTGGCACATAGGAGGCCTTTAATAAATGTCTGCTTGCTTGATGAATGAATGAATGAACAAAGGCACCAAGCTATATAGAGCAAAAAGTTCTTTAGAGTTCAGTTACGCAGGTTGTATTTCTTACATTTTTCAGTGGAGAATTACAAACATGCCTCAGCCTAACACTAAATACAATTTTGGCTGGGCAAAAACACATACTTGGAAAGTCACTCCTTCTCTGTGATGGCTTCCTCATTATTAAGAGGATGATGCTCTACAAACAATGAAATGAGTATATCACAATTATTAATTACGATTTTGTTACAGTTTTAAGCAAAGTACCATTCCTTCTCTGCTCCCACCTTTTTCCATTCACACACACCACTTAATGCCTCACCTCGGGGAAGTCGATCAATTTTTCAAAACCTATGTTGTCTCATCTATAAAATGAGGTTAGACCAGATAATCTCCAAAGTCCTTTCTAGCTCTAAATTCTATGATCTTACAACCAGATGAAAGGAATCTGCTTGAGGCAACCACAAGTTCCTAAGCCCTAATTACTCCCAAACTTACCACAGGTAAATCTCCCTCATCTTCCTCTTCTTCTTTTTCTGATTTAGTAGAAATATTTGCCCAGCTCACATCATCGTCCACAATCCTCATCCTAAAGAAAAAAGCAGTCAGAAAAAAAGCAATATTTTCAAGATGAGAACCAACAACATTCTAGGAGACCCAAATAGCTGCTTAGATATAAACAGAGGCATGAGGAGACAGAGAATAGCCCCATTTAGTCTGCTCTTTCCCTACAAAGCCAACATCTCTAAAACTGAAGAATTTAAGAAAAACTGTTACTTTGAAAGAGACTGGGAACAGGATGGAACAGAAATCCCCAACACAACCAGTGGGTTGTCTCCTACTTCAAAGCTCAAAACTGTGGGTTCCCTTGTTTTTTTCTTTCTTGCGGTTCCCATTGGTTCTAATTCTTTACAATATGACTAATGTGAAAATATGTTTAATATGAATGTATATGTAGAGCCTATATCAGATTGTATGCTGTCTTGGGGACGGGGGAAAGGAGGGAGGCAGAGAAAGTTTAAAACTCAAAAGCTTATGAAAGTGAATGTTGAAAACTAAAAATAAATAAATATTTTTTAAAAAAAGTGTGGGTTCCCCAGCCTGAAATTCTACCTCTGGGCCAAATCCTACTGCCCTGTTTTTCATTGGCTCCCTTGGTCCTCTTCTTCCCCCACCCCCACACCCCTCTTGCCCTTTAACTTGTGCTCTGAAGCATTTCATTCCAAACCTCAAGTTGAAGATTCCCAGTTCAATCCTCAGGCTCTGGGAGTAAATGAGAGAAAAGGGATGTAACCAGGGCTCAGGTCAGTGAGTAGGTACAAAGGAGAAGACACAGAACTGAATTTGGTAGCTAAAAGAGGGGAACATAGTCAAAAGAGAGGGAACTGACATGGCCCAGATGACAGGTTGATTTGAATGGGGCACATGGGGTGCCAGGAAGGAAAAGGACACAGAGGGGAGTAAACAAGGACGGAGAACAGGAAGATTGGAGAATTGACAAGGTGGGAAACAGGGCCATCTACATAAAGCCAGAGGCTAAGCTACTGGAAAAAAGATAACAGTCTGATGAATTAGAATGAAACAGAAATAGTCAAAGCCTGCAGTGACAGGAGAGAATACAGTTGTGATGGGGAGGGGACACAGCAAAAAGGGCAGTGGTGAAGAATCTTGTAACTTTCCAATTTCTACAGAGGGCACCACCACTCTTCCAGTCACCCAGGCTCAAAGTGTAGGTGCCAACTCTTCACTCTTTCTCACCACCTCCACAGTCAATCTGTTATCAAGTCTTGCTGTTTCTACCTTTATATTTGTTCCATCATTTCAGTGATGTCTGACTCTTTGTGACCCTATCTGGGGTTTTCTTGGCAAAGATAGTGGAATGGCTTGTCATTTCCTTCTCCAGCTTGTTGAGGATAACAGGGCGTGCCTAATGTCACACAGCTAGTAAATGTCTGAGGTTGGATTTAAACTCAGGAAGACGAGTCTTCCTGACTTCAAGCCTAGCACTCTATCCACCTGTCCTCTCTTGAAATATACCCACTTCTTTCTGACACTGCTGCCACTCTGGTACAAGCCCTCATCTCCTCATGCCTGGATGAAAGCCTACTGGTGGTCTGCCGCCACACGACTCTTCCCACTCAAGGCCATCCTCCATTTAGTTGTCAAAGTGATCTTCCTAAAGCTGCTTGGTTTTGCCAGTGGGAACACTCCCCTCTTTTCACCTTTTTGTGTGCAGCCTTCCTACTTAAATGGTAAATTCCCTGAGGGCAGGGATTATCTTTCTCATTATTTGTATCCCAGCACTTAGCACAGTGTCTGACCGCGTCCTCACATGTGTTCCCCATCCCCTCCATAAATTCCAATGGTTCCCTATCAACTCCAGGATGAAATATGAAATCCTAGGGTTTTCAAAGTCCTTCATAACCTGAACCCTTTCTCCCTTTCCTGTCTTCTTATACCTTACACACACACCCCCATACATACATGGTAATCCTGCCTGTTGTTTTAACAGAACATTACACTACCCCACTGTCTCTTATCGTTTTCTCTGGCCACGTCTGTAACCTCCCTCCTCATCTGTTTCCTGGGCCCTGCCTTTGGGGCTCTCCCGGCTTCCTTTCAACTCTCAGTTTTCTGCGAGAAGACCTTTCCGATTCTAGGGCCTCCTGTCTGAGAATCTCCCAATTGATCTTGTCCGTACGTAGACTGTAAGCTAACGCCGACTTTCATCTTATTATTTGTGTCCCCAGCACTTTAGCACAGTGCCCGGCACACTGTAGGTTCTTATAAGTGTCACGCGGGAGGCAGCAGGGAGGGGAGGGAAGATGTGTCTCCAAGCCGGGCTAGGCGGGCGGAGAACACAGGGCAGCGCCTGGACACGGCTCGGAGCCAAGGACGGAAGGAGGTGCGGGCCGGCCACTGATGGGAAGTGGCAGGAGCAGGCAAACACACACACACACACACACACACACACACACACACACACACACACGCCACATACCACACAGACACACACACACATACACACGCTACACACACCACATACCACACGCACACCCCACACAAACGCCACACACACCATTTCCACATACCATACATACACACACACCCACAGACAACATACATACACCACATAACACACCGACACACACACAGACAACACACAGACACCACACACAGCACATACACCCCACTCCACACACACATACACACGCCCTTGGCTCACCCTTTCCCTCCGGCACCAGTCGGCTTCGGCCGCTTCCTGCGGCGCTTACGACTAGCCTCGGACCCCGCATCGACGGCTGCCTCGGGCCCAGACAAGTAACGCTTCAGATACTCAGCCTTGGAGAGCGGTGGGGCAGCCGCCATGGCAGCGGAGGAAGCAGAACAGAACCGGAACCAGGGTACGGTACGGCGTAGGGGACAAATTTCCTGTAACGCAAAAACCGTTCCAAGGAGGCCTTCAGGGGGTGGAGCTAGGACTCCCGGGCGGCGGAGATTGGTCTCTGGCTGTGGGCGGGGCCCAACTTCTGCACGTCCTTATTCTACGGAAGCGACTGGTGCCACGAACGGACTCAGCAAAGGACCCGCGCTGAATTTGGAGTTAGGGGAAGAAGGGGTCTAGAGGTCCCAGTAATGGGTCGGGACAATGGGAAGAGAAGTGAGGGAACTGACTGGAGAGATGTAGGGGAAATTAAATCGGCGGGACAGGGCCACTGATTGAGACTGGAAGAAGGAAGTCTCTCCCATGCAAACCTGTGTGAGATTAGGTAAATAGTAATGCCTTAAACAACCATGGCAAAGGTAGAAGGAGCAATTTTTCCTCCTTCTATTCGATCTTTTTTAAAAACATTCCTTTTTTTTTAGTTCCAAATTCTGTCCCTCCCTCCAGCCCCTCCCCCACCCATTGAGGAGATAAGCAACATCCACCCATTTTACACGTGAAGTCATGCAAAACAATGTTGCCAAAAATAATAATAATAATAAATAAAATGAAAAAAGTGTACTTCAGTCCTCACTCAGACTTCATAAGTTCTCCCTCTCTGGAGATGGATAGCATTTTTCATCATGAGCAGAAGAGCAGATTTCAAAAGTAAAGTTAGACATGATGAGTCTGACTACCAGAGGAGCATCAGTGTTGATGTCTTGCAGAAGAAGGAATTGATTCGGATTTATACGAATAAGAGCTATTCTACAATGGATAAATAGTCAAAGTAGGTGAACAGACATCCAAGCTATCAACAACCAGCAGGAAAAATCCTCTAAATCACTGATAATTAAATTATAGCAATGGCAACGTGCCAATAGCAGTTTCTGAAAGGCGGTGGGAAAGCCTGCACACTAAATCTGCCATTGATGGAGCTGTGAATTGGTCAAGAAGCCTTCTGGCAAGCACTTTGGGACTATGCCCCCAAAAGCCACTAAACTACACACATCCTTTGACCCAGCAATACCACCTATGCTCCAAAGAGCTCAAAGAAAAAGGAAAAGGACCTCTATTTGCAAGAATATTTATAGCAGCTCTTTTGGTTATGGCAAAGAAATGGAAACCAGGGGGTGCCCATCAATTGAGGAATGGTTGAACAATTTATGACATAAAAATAGTATGGAATATTGCGCCATAAGAAATGACAAAAGGAATGGTTTCTGAAAAACCTGGGAAGACTTTGTGAACTGATGCAGAGTAAAGTGAGCAGAACCTGGTGTACATAATATTATGAAGAAAAGTGACTTTGAAAGACTCAAGAATACTATTTAAGGCAATGACCAACCACAATTCTGGAGGACTGATGCTAAAGCATACTACCCATTTCCTGACAGAGATGATGAATTCAAGTTGCAGGAAAAGGCATACTTTTTTGGACATGACTAATATGGGAACTTGTTTTAAATTGACTGCAAATATGTTACGAGGGCTTTGTTTTTATTTTTTTCAATTTGGGGGAGGGCAGAGGAGGAGCTAGGGACAAGGTAACCCATCAAAAAGTAAGAGTCACTAGAATTTTTAAGTGCACAGATGAGAACAGTAGGAAAACCAGAAAAAGATCAAAGACAAGACAGCTTTGAAAGTTACATAGTCAATTTATTTTATTGTATAAATTATACATAATAGCAGTTCAGTTTCATTTACAGTCCTATTTTCTATTCTACTATGTGTATAGAAATGCCCACCTTTATTTGGTTTGTAAGTTCATAATTTTTAAAGTGAATTTTTAAAAATCAGCTGCATGGATGACTATGACATGGTTGAAACCCTGAAAGCTAATGAGATTGCCAATGGAAAAAATGTGGAGAAAGATGAGAAGAGAGCCACGAATAGACCTTTGGGGAATACCCTTAAGTGTAAAGGTCATCATCATCATTATTATAAGTAGTGTTTATACAGCACTTCAGGGTTTACAAAACTCTTTACAAATATTATTTTATCATTATGCAACTGGAAGATAGGTGTTATTACTGTCATCATTCCATCATTGTCATGAGGAAAGAGACTGAGATTAAGTGACTTGTCCAGGGTTACACAGCTAATAAAGCATTTGAGTAGAATTTGAGCTCAGCTCCAACAGTCTAGCCACTACACCACCTAGCTCCCAAGTACAGCTTAGAGATGTAGGCTCTGAAACCAAGAGTACAGCATACAGCAGAAGTGATTGGTCAGCAGTATAAAAGTGGCAGACAGGTCAAGGAGAATGAGGAATTAATCAATCAGCAAGAATTTATTAAGCCCTTACTGTATTAGGCACTGGGGATGCAAGTATAAAGAATGAAAAACAATCCCAACTCACAATGAACTTACATTCTAATGGGGAAGAGAATTAAATATCAAAACATACAGCTTAAATATAAAGTTAATAAGTACAAATATATACAAAATAGTAGAATGGAAGGTACTTTAGGAAGGAGGGCACTAGCAGTGAGAGGAATCAGGAAAGACTTCATTTGAAGATGGTGCCTGAACAGCATCTTAAAGGAAGAGAGATCATGCAGGATGGCCAAGACAAAGGCATGCAAAATGGAGTTGGAATGTCATGTGTAAGGAACAGAGAACGCCAATTTGGCTGTTTCACAAAGTTCAGGAAGAGCAGAAATGTCTAATTAGACTGGAAAGACAGGTTAGAGCCAGGAAGTGAAGGGTTTTTAAAGCTAAACAGAGGAGTTAATATTTCTATCCTGCAGGCACTAAGAAGACACTGGAGCTGTTTGAGGAAGGGAGTCACAGTCAGATCTACATTTAAGGAAAACTATTTTGGTAGGAAGGACTAGAGTGAGGAGACACTTGAAGGAATGAGACTGTTATGGTAATCTAACAGCAAGGTGATGAGTGCCTGAACTAAGGTGGCAGCTGTGTGACTGGAGAGAAGGGCTCAAATGCAACAGACGTGAATATAGAAATGGCAAGATTTGACAACTGATTAGATATGTGAGATAAAAGAAGAGTTCAGGATAATGTCAAGATTTCAACCTGAGGCGCTGGAAGAATGGCGGTTTCTTTGACAGAAATAGACAAGCTTGCAAGAGAAAGTTTGCAATGAGAAAGACAGCTCAGTTTTAGATATGTTAAATTTAAGAAGTCTCTGGTATATCTAGTTTGAAACGTCTAATTCTAATGTCTAATGTCATCAGGGACTGAAATTCCGGGGGAGAGCCTGAAACTGGATATATAAATCTGGGAGGTATCTGCATAGAGATGGAACTATGGAAATGGAAAAATTCCATGGAATTTACTGATTTGGAGCTTGTTGGTAACCTTTAGGAGAAAAAAGCTTCAGTAGAAGCTATTCAAGAGAATAATGATGCAAGAAGACAAATTAACAAAGTGTTAAAGAGCAAATAGATGGTGAAGAATTAGAAGCATGAAGTATAGGCACTTATTTCAAAAATGTGAGTAGTGAAAGGGAGAAAGGAAGGTAGAAAAAGGGTCAAGTTGAGGCTTTTCATTTGTCTGGGAGGATGAGGGGATGACAATTTAACTGAATTAGAAGTCTAATTGAAAAAAATTGAGGTTTTAGTGAACTAAAAGTTCAATATGAATCAACACTATATGGCAACTAAAAAAGTTAATATGTAGGGTACATTAAGAGCCTGCCATTTAGGACTAGGGAAGTGAGCATCCCACTCTATTCTAACCTGGTCAAAACACATTTGGAATACTATATCCAATTCTGGACACAATTTATGAAGGACATGTTTAAACTGGTCAGAGTCCATAAAAAGGCCAGCTAGAATGGTGAAAGGCTTCAGGATCATGCCATAGGAAGAACTAGAACTGGGACTATTTGCTCTCAAGAATGATAGGCTCATAGACTTAAGAGCTGCAAGGAACCTTAGAAGAAGAAAATAAAGCATGGCAGTCAAGCCATGTACCACATCAGCCCCTCTGTATAGTAGCACAACTGTTCAATTTTGGAAATTGTTACGGGTTTGATACTGAAAACTTTTTTTCCACTTGTGTCCAATGGAGAAAAACCGTTTAGAGAGAAAAACTTGTGTTTAATGAATTACCAGGTTTTTAAAACCGTGTGTTCTTTTACTCCTCTTTGTGGAGGTTGCAGCTATGAAGGATGGTGGGTTACCCATAGTTCATTGCAAGCTCATACCTAGTTTACCTAGGTTGAGATTTGTTATGTACCTGTTAATACTTATTACTTTTAACCAATCAGATCTTTCTTTGTGTAATGTTTCTTAGGACTCTTATGGTATGTTAACAGATATGTTAATACAGAATACATTAAAAATGTATGTTAGTATAAGAAAAAATCATTAGATAATGAGTTTAAGTCCTATGATAGACTGCAGAGGGCTAGCAACAGAATTCCAAAGTCCAGCTAGAGGATGTACAGTAGAAGCAGCAATTCTGTAAGTCTTAAGAGCCAAGAAATTAATCATCTTCTGGGGTATCTAGATCCCTTCAGTGTCTTTTTCAAAAGGTTGATTTGCATAATATATTGATGTGTGCAGTGTATTAATGGAGACCAGTTCCAGGTACTAAAATTCTTCTTGGTTTTTTCCTGCTCCATATTTTTAAAGTTAAAAGGGACACTCTATGGGTATGTTCTAGTGATTTTACCTTGGTTCTAGAAGGTCCCTTCTGTCATGGTATTCTTAGGCCCATACTGCTGGTTATTATGGTTTCTTTGGCATGGAAAAATGTGCAGATAATCTCCCCACCCTAATATCCATCCATTCCTGCACTGCACCTTTCTTATATGAAGCACTTTCCCTATTTTCCAGAGGATTACATGCTAGAGTGAAGGCTGTTATTCTATAAAGAGATTAGCATCATGCCAGTAACATTTAACAAGAATAATTTTTTTAAAAAAAGCTGTAGGTTCTACTTTACTGACATCTCCAAGAAAAGGCTTATCATTATAGACAAATCTTGCTAAATACAATATGGTTACATCGGTCCCTCCAAGGTCTCT